CCGGGGCGTCATGCACCACCAGCGGGTGCTGATCAATATCTCCGGGCTGCGCTTCGAGACCCAGCTGGGCACCCTCAACCAGTTCCCCGACACGCTGCTGGGAGACCCGGACAAGCGCATGCGCTACTTCGACCCGCTCCGCAATGAGTACTTCTTTGACCGGAACCGGCCCAGCTTCGACGGGATCCTCTACTTCTACCAGTCTGGGGGCAAGCTCCGCCGGCCTGTCAATGTCTCCATCGACGTCTTCGCCGATGAGATCCGCTTCTACCAGCTGGGCGAGGAGGCCATGGAGCGCTTCCGGGAGGACGAGGGCTTCATCAAAGAGGAGGAGAAGCCCTTGCCCCGCAACGAGTTCCAGCGCCAGGTCTGGCTCATCTTTGAGTACCCCGAGAGCTCTGGCTCGGCCCGGGCCATCGCCATTGTCTCTGTGCTGGTCATCCTCATCTCCATCATCACCTTCTGTCTGGAGACCCTGCCGGAATTCAGGGACGAGAGGGAGATGCCTGTGCCACTCCCCCCACAAAGTGGAGGTTTGAATGGCACGGCAGGGGACTCCCCAGCCATGCAGCCACCCAGTAGCCTCTCTGACCCCTTCTTCATCATCGAGACCACCTGCGTGATCTGGTTCACCTTTGAGCTCCTCGTCCGCTTCTTCGCCTGCCCCAGCAAACCTGAGTTCTCCCGCAACATCATGAACATCATCGACATTGTGGCCATCATCCCCTACTTCATCACCCTGGGCACTGAGCTGGCCCATGAGCAGCAGCAGCCTGGGGCTGGCAGTAGTAATGGGGGTGGGGGCCAGCAGCAAGCCATGTCCCTGGCCATCCTCAGAGTTATTCGCCTGGTCAGAGTCTTCAGGATCTTCAAGCTCTCCAGACACTCCAAGGGTCTGCAGATCTTGGGACAGACTTTGAAAGCCAGCATGAGGGAGCTGGGCCTCCTCATCTTCTTCCTCTTTATTGGGGTGATCCTCTTTTCCAGTGCTGTCTACTTTGCTGAGGCTGATGACCCTGAGTCTCATTTCTCCAGCATCCCTGATGCTTTCTGGTGGGCAGTGGTGACCATGACCACTGTGGGCTATGGGGATATGCGACCTGTTACCGTGGGGGGGAAGATTGTGGGTTCCTTGTGTGCCATTGCAGGTGTGCTCACCATCGCCCTGCCTGTCCCTGTCATTGTATCCAACTTCAATTACTTCTATCACCGAGAGACTGATCATGAAGAGCAAGCTATCCTCAAAGACGAACACAGTAGTGCTCAGGGCAGCACAGCAGGGGGAGATGTGAAGAGAAGATGCAGTAGAAACTCTCTGAACAAATCTGTTGTGCACTTGGAAAACAGTGAGGGGTTCAACAATGGCACCAGCTCCTTAGAGAAAACCAATATCAAAGCGAAAAGTAACGTAGATCTCAGAAAATCCCTCTATGCTCTCTGTCTGGACACCAATAGGGAAACAGATCTGTGAGGAGAGGGGAGAATTAGAGTTGAGAGATGCAGGAGGATTTGCTGGTGTCAGAAACTTACTACTATAATTATTATTTTGGTACCAATTAGTTTTTTAAATCAGGCTGTATTTTATAAATTGATCACTGTCCTGAGTAGTCCTCCAGGAATACATGTTTTTATGTTCTTTTTCCATGACACAAAGGGTCACCTATTTTTAAAATAGACTAAGAATAAGCTACACTCCATGATGCAGGAGCTGGTAAATTATGACAGTGCAAAATCTAATTTGTAAAAACTTATTTTAGCAAATGGTGGTTGGTTTTAAAAGGGTCATTTGTAACCAATTCAGTTGCTCAAAGTTTAGTATTAAAGAGTTGGGGGATGTGGG